CGTGCACGTGTGTGTGTGTGTGTGTGTGTGTGTGTGTGTGTGTGTGTGTGTACCTGCGTGGTGTCTGCCGAGTCTCTGCTGAAGTCGGCGAGGTTCCTCCAGTGTCGCGAAGCAAACGTCTAGGGAACACAAGCAAGTTAGGCAGCCTGCCGCTAGTCACGTGACCCGCGGCAACAAGCCGATGGGCGCCAGCCGCAACTTACGTCCTCGGCCACGCTGTGTCGCCATGCCACGCGCTGATCGGGCTTGCCGTTTGCCATCCGGAGGCCATCTTGGCGCTCCAGGTGCGCTCTGGGAATGATGTGCTGCCGAGCATGCTGGCAAACGTCATGCAACATGAAAAACATGGTGAGGGTTGTCATAGAGACGGGATATTTCAAATAGATTTTGACTGGATGATTTTTTTTTCTAGAGTTCGCATTCATTTGTTTCGTGCTACACTGCAATATTTGCAAAGGCCTTAAACCCAGATTGCAGAGTTTTGTGTGCCAGTTTGAGATGGGAGTGAGTCAAGTTTTTCACCAAAAACAATTACAAGTTGTGTATTTCAAACACATAGCAACTGCCCACGTAACCCTAACATACAATGAGAAAGACCACAGACACAGGCTAACGATTAGCATGGATGTGGTAGCATTAAATGATCTCTGCAGAGAAAAGGCGACAGTACCGTTTAGCTGTATGCCTGTTTTTGCATGTGTGTGATGGAGGAAGGTACCATCATGAAGACGGTGTCATTGTCGTGCTGCGCGTCAACGGGATAATCTTCTTCTGGCAGTGGAGGCTGCAGGTTCAGTCAACACACACACGCACAAGCAAACAATCAAAAGTGAGTAATATAACCCGTGAGCATCAAAGTGCGCCAATGATCTGGTACCGGGCCGTCGTCGGGCTTGGCGGGTTCATCGGTCATCGTGGGGGCAGCGTGGGGTGCCGGCATGGGCGCGTTCCAGGAGGTGGCACCAGACACTGGGTTGTAGTAGTAGAGCCTCCCGGAGTTTGGGTCCATCAGCTGTTCCCAAATCTCGCAGCCAGACTGGAGGGATGGATAGCCCTTCAGCATTTAGCCCACTTAAGTTCCTCCCCCAGCCCCCATGTAACAGTCCAGTGATTCTCAAATTGTGCACCTTGTACCACTTGTGGTACTCTGGCTCCCTCTAGTGGTAATGTGAAATAATTTCTAATTTATGATTATTATTTTTATTTTACTTTTGAGGAGAATATACTTATCTGTAAAATCGGTTTGTTTTGAAACTTGAATTCAGGTACAGGTTTTATTTCACTTTCATTTGCAGCACATTTAACTGAGTCATAATTTAAGAACGGTTGCATTCATTTTCCGAGATTTTAATGTTCAAAAGGTACTCACAGAAATGCGAAATACTGTATATGTTTTGAGAACAAATACTCGGCCTCATTTTTGATGAATACGTGTGCAAGGTAAAGCGTCTTTTGTTTTGTTACCTGTGGCGAGGGTGTCGGTGACGAAGCGGATGGGACGGGTGACGAGACCGGGGGTGATGATGGGTGCGGCGAGGGCGAGCGCGGGTGCGACCAGGTGCTCTGTCGAGTCAGTGGGTGGAAGTAAAACACCCTCCCACTCTCCTGGTCCGTGTGCATCTGCAACAGGGCGCCTTCACAATAAAAGAACCTACTTCCTGCTCTCCCCCCAAAAAATCATTCACATTGGGATGATTCGTAATCTCAAACGTTAACATTCTTATTTTAAATGCCTGCGTACTGTCCTCAATCAGACGTATGGGCTTTGTCTGAGCGAGAGAGTGATGCAAGAGAGTTGTTAGTAGCTTTTCATATAAAATCTTGATATCAACGTTTGGCAGAGTGAGTGGGTTTAAAGCGATCTCTTTTGCTTTTTTTTTTTTTTCCTCAATTGCCTCAATTCCTGCTTGTGCAAGTATCAGATGAGGCCCCAACACTTCCCGCAAAAGCATAATTTTCAAAATAAAAGTCACATAATTCTTTTCAACATCCAAAATCTGCACACACTGACCTGCCATCCTTGTTGCGGGCTGAGTGGGGAGAGGCTTATTATTTCAGAGGAGGTGCTTGAAGAGGAGAGGGTGGGCCCTGTGGTGGAGGGGGCGGGGTCAGGCAGCTGCGATGGCTCGGAGGCGGGATCACAGGTCTGCTGGTGTCAGGACACACACACACACACACACACACACACACACACACACACACACACACACACACACACACACACACACACACACACACACAGGATGAATGAATATTTCAGGCTTCTTACTCGGGTTTCTTGTGTCAGCCAAAAGCCGTCGCCGTGGCGACAATAAGACAAGAAGCAGCCATCAAATTCCTCATCATGCCTTGCTAGCCACAGTGGTGACATCCCATCAACATCAACATATTGGCCTATAGATGCCCCCCAGATGGCTTGTCAAAATGAAGCTACTACCCTCTGGTCAACATAGTTCCTGCTTGGCTCCCACAAGACAAATTCTCTCAAACATTGTTGACAAAACTCTCTATGTATGTTTTAGTGAGCACTTCTCCTTTGCTAAAATCAAGTGCGCACACATCACCATGCTGATTGGACGTCATTTTTTGTTGTAAAAGATCATGTGACAGCGCCTGGAATTTTTACACCGATATGTCCCTAATTATGAATCAATTATCAAGGCAGCTGTCGATTAATTTTATCATCGATTAGTTGTTGATTCATCGAGGAATTGTTGCACACCCACAATGGACATTTGTAATGACAGCCAAACTGCTTGTAAACGGTGAGCGAATCGTGAAAAGTTGCGGAATGTCGCAGATTGCACATGGTCGGCGGTGGGCCTTTACCAGATTGGGAGGCGGAGCCGGGTTCAACTCTCCAATCAGAGCGTCCAGGTGCAGATCCTGGATGGACTCATAGATGTGGTTGGAGTCTTTTTCCTCTTTGTGTTCCTCAATCTCCTCTGGCTCGTCGCTGTCCTGTTCACTGTCCTCCGTGGCCTCGATGGTTTCCTCTTCCTCTTCCTCTTCCTGTTCCATTTCTTGCCGCCCGGCCACCGCCTCCTCTCGGTCTTCCTGCGAGGGTCCACCCTCGGAGTCTTTGAGGGCCTGCACATCGGGTACAGTAGGCGTGTCTACGGGGATGGGCAGTGTGTGGGGTCGGGCGGCAGGTGGGTCAGCCGGGATGAAACCAATGTTTCTATGCTCCTCGGGCAGTGTTTTCGCCGTTACGCCGTCGGTTTTGTCGGCACAGTCAGGACCCAAGGGGGCGCCAGAGTGACGCTGCACTGTGGCGAGGGGCGGCGGCAGGTCCAGGAAGTCCAGCGGGACGCCAAATGTGGACATGCGATTCTCTGTCTTACGGTAGCCACCGGACGTGTCCGGTTTGAGCCGGATGGGCACTTCGTCGCCGGGTTTGCTTCTGGTCCCGCCGGGCTCCTCCAGAACTTTGGGAACATGGACCATTACGGGGACCGACACAGGGACCGGGGCCGCTACCGGAGTGGGGACCGGGGTTGCCTCAGGAGCCGGCGGGTGGGCAAAGTCCAGAGGTGATGGCGCGTCGGGTGGGAGCTCTTTTACATACTTCGCCGGGATGTAGAAGGGTTTGGAGGTGTGGTCGCGCCGCACCTGCCACCAGTGGGCGTTGGTCTTGGCCAGCAGGACGTAGCGCTCGTTGGGCTTGATGGAGATGATGGAGCCATCGCGACCCTCGTACTCGTACTGGAACTCCACCAATACCAGACCCACACCTTCAACAAAAACACAACACAGGGCTCAAAACCACAGACCCGAATTCTTCGACTTCACTGTAGAAAAAAATTCAAGTCATTTGTGACAGTTGCAGAGGACAGATGCCTCCGCCAAGTCCATGTATCTCTGATAAGTGGGCACCTCCAAGATCCTGCTCATTTGCCAACCAAAAGAATTCACCAAACCACCAATGCAGCTCGTCAAAATGGAAACAATTTTCAACGCTTAAGGCAGCCATGTAATGTTACAACTTGTGGAATAAAACCTCCTTTTTGAGGAAAACTTGGGCCTACTCCGCTCCTGTATTTTACTGCTGGTCAGTAGAGGGGCCCTTTCAAGAACTGTTGGAGTCGGTGCTGGGTGTCAAAAAGTTTGAGACCCACTGGCTTACTAAACGCGATCTCATCTCATTACAGAGTGCGAAAAAAAATAAAAATCAGCTACTGGCTAACGCTAACGCGAACCCAAATCTGGTGAAAAAGTGAAGCAGACTAACCTTTCCCCAGCGAGGCGGGCGTGGTTGCCATGGTGATAGCAGACTCGCCCCCTCAGCTTGACGGACAGGCGGCCGCGCCACGGGTGAGGGGTGAAAGGTTAAGCGTAACCATCCGCAATCTAAGAGACAACAGGAAGTACAAATATCATCTGAAATGGGGCACTGCGCACACAAAATGGTTGTCAGTGGAATGTTGGAAGTGCTCGTGTCCACCCTGTCATGACATGTCCTAACATACACTCACTCACACTCACACACTCACCAGTCAACACACACACCATGGTACAAACACACAAAGGTGGCAACACGCACACACCAGTCAATCAAGAACGAGTCGCACCACTCAACACACACAGACACACACACACACACACACACACACACACACACCAGTCGATACACACTAAAACAACACTCTCACAATCAACACACACGTCAACATACGCAAATATTACAGTCAACACGCACGCACACACCAGTCAAGACACACACCGGTGAACATATTGACGCCAGTGACCACGCAAGTCAACACATAGGCTTTTCCATGTATGACGTCACTTCTGTCGCCAAATAAAGATCATATTGTTTCGTGCGCACACACAACACGCAAGCACGCACACACACACACATACACAGAACAATAGTAGGAGGTGCAGCTCAGCCTTGTTTTGTTGACAGAGGGAAGTGTCTGCTTCCTGTTCGTCCAAAAGCCCCACCCATCGGTCACCACCCTTCGGTGACATCACAAACACGTGCCCGCATGCATACACACATGCACATACAGTGTGAATGTTTTATATGTGACTTAGTAAGTTCAAAGTCTTGTGACTTGTTTGACATGGCAAAGTGACTGACACACTTGTCGATGGTCACATGACGCGCACCCACACACACACACACACACACACACACACACACACACACACACACACACACACACACACACACACACACACACAGTGTTTCCTGGTCACACAACAATAGTAAGACTGCTTCAAAGTCAAATGAAGCAGTTTTGACCCTTGACTATGCTGTACAAATCATGCTTCTGCGTTATGGGATGGACTGGTCACCACTCAGTCGCAGAACACATCTGGAGACAACCATTCACATCGTCCCTGAGTGATAGCAACTTTACAACTCAATTTTACAAGGAGAGTTTTGGAGTAAAGTTGACTTGCATCGTAACATTACATTCAGCCGCATTTTGCGGTGTACAGTGGCCTGAAGAGGCAAAGAGAGAAAACTTTGATCTATGGAGGAGAAGCCAGCAACCGCAACTCAGTTAGCATTGTGCTACAAAACAAGAACTCGCAATATGAATATTAGTCAACCTTGGCATCCGTCCATGAGGTTCGGGTGCACAGAACAGTTTTTCCACATATGAGCCATCACTTGATCTTTTTTTTGTGTGTGTGTGTGTGTGTGTGTGTGTGTGTGTGTGTCTCTTGGGACCAAAAACAAACATTGAATGCCCGTGACCTTTGATTCCTCAGGCACTGCATGAACAATTGGCATCATTGGGCTAAGAATGTCACCACGTTTGCTCAGTAACAATTCAGAAAACCACTTTCACTTAGAACAGTTTGTCGCTACATCTACAGAGGCGAAACGCCGCCGGCTTCTCTGGGCCCGAGCTCACTGATGCAAAGTGGAAAAGTGTGCTGGGATCTTACAAGCCCAGATTTCAAATTGTTTTGGGAAATCATGGATGTCGTATCCTCCTGCCAAAGAGAAAAAGGACCATTCAGATTGCTCTCAGCGCGCCGTTCAAAAGTGAGCATCTAGGACGGGATGAAGGTGTGTTAAGAGTCCATGGCCATGGGTAATGTGCATATCTGTGAAGTCATCATTAATGCTGAAGGGCACATACAGGTTTTGGAGCAAATTATGCTGCCATCCAAGCAACTTGTTCTTCAGGGACGTCCCTGCATTTTTCAGCAATACAATTCTAAGCCATATTCTGCATGTTACAACACAAAAGAGTGAGTACTAGACTGGCATGCCAGCAGTCCAGACCTGTCGCCCATTGAAGATATGTGACACAATATGAAGTACAAAATGCGACAAAGGACACCTCGGAGGGGTGAGCAACTGAAGCTGTACATCAAGCAAGAATGGGAAAGAATTCCACCTGCGAAGCTTCAACAATAAGTGTCCCCAATTCCCAAATGCTTATTGAGTGTTGTTAAAAGGAAGAGTGACGTAACACAGAGGTAAACATCCCCATGTCCCAGGTTTGATGAAACATGTCGCAGGCATCAAATTCAAAACGGGTGAATATTTGCAAAATAATAATAACAATAATAACATATATCAGTTACAATATTAAATATATTGTCTTTGTTATTTATTCAATTGAATATAGGTTGAAAAGGATTGGCAAATCAGTGTATACTGGTGTCACGAACATTTTACACAAGGCCCCAACTTTATTGGAAATGGGTTTGTGCTACTGCTGCTGTCATATTGCAACAATATACTACGAGTGCTCTGATGACACTATGAATACAACTGCTACTACTGCTGTGGTATTAGATTACTAATTATGACACTGCTTTTATCCTACTACTAATAGTACTGCGATTCTCAAAAAAACATTACTATTGTGGCCACAATGATACTACAAATGCTCCTAACACTATGATACAACAATTAAACAATACGACTATGAGTAATTACTAATACAATGACACTACCAATACTCTGATAGCTCTAGGACTAACATTAGACAATTATATATGACTTTAAGATACGCTACTTGCACACTTGTAGTTAAATTCTACTGTAAGTACTATTACAACTACAAGGCTAATGCGAAATAATACAACTACTAACACCGTGATACAACTACAACTAGAATATAACTAAAAGTAACGTAATAGTACTACAATCAGTAGAAATACTGCTCTTTGTACTTGACGGCGAGTTCGAAGCATGAAAGGAGAAAAAGGTTGAGTACTTGTACTTGCTTCTTTCTTTGTGGGGTGGGTGGCGTGCACGCAAGCAAACACACCCAACCACACCGCACATTCCAGCCACACGCGCACACGCGGACACGCACGCGCGTAGGAGCACAACGCTAACAAGCTAACGCAGCACACACGCCACTTAATGTGCTCTTCCTTCCTTCCTTCCTTTCTTTGCCCAATTACTTTGCACAGAAACGAAACTACAAACACAATCCCACGACGAGTACGACACACTCGAGCTCGACCAAATACGCGAATGCACAACTCGCTCCATGACTGTGTGCGCGTATGTGTTTGTGTACATGTACGCAAGTGTAGTAAAAAGTAGTTTAGCGTTACCTCGAGTCCAAGGAGAAGCACAACAACAGCCATGACGGTGGGTCCTCGTGTACTTGTTGTGTACTTGTGAAAGTACGTGTGTTTGTGCGTGCGCGTTTGTGTGTGTGTGCGTGTGTGTATGTGTGTGTGTGAAAATCATCGAACAGGTTCCTCTGTTTTTGGCCCCGCCCACCATCAAAGACCTGCTCGCTTCGACTTGCCCCACTCGCCCCGCCCCCACACCGATCTCGTCCCGCCTACCCGGAAATGAGCACTGTTTTAAAAATTAACTTTTGGAACATTGAAAATACAAACACTCGCAGAGAATAATACAAATTTGGTAACAGTATGTAAACTAAAATAGATATTTAAAAACAAATAAAGCAATAAACAAAGGGGATTTATCAGTAAAAAAAAAAAATCGCCATTTCCATTAAAAAGAACACACAGGACCTCAAGGATAAAAATCAAAACAATAGATATTTAGCAATGTCTGCGCATATTTTCCTCGCATAATTGCTTGTTTCTATTTTCTTAGGGCATAAGAAAAACATTTTAAAGTCAGTCATAAATCCCAAGGAGGGCTTACTAGTTCTAAAATTGGCGCAATGTATATGGTACTTACCCATCAACAAAATAATGGTAACCAAGTCCGCAATAAAAAACTGAAATGGGCGCTTCCTGTTCAATGCTCCGACGTTGACGCTCCCATGGCTCCATCTGCCGGCGGAAAGTTGCTCTTGCAGCAGCGGCACCTGTTTGTCCTCACCTGACGTCATCGCTGCCTATCAAAACAAAGACAGTCACGCAAGAAAATAAAGTTAAACAACAATAATAATAATAATAATAGTAATAATAATAATAAATGAAGTAAATTAAATAAAAAACAAGCAGACTACACAAGATAAAACAAATAACATTTAATTCTTGAAGATTTCAATTCAACATCGACATGGCATTTCGCATTTGCAACAGCTGTCATTCAATAAAGACCTCCACCAGACTCCCTCCTTCAAAAATGGTACGCTCCTGATTTGTGCGCACGCGTGTGCGAGTCAGACGGTGCTCGTGCCCGCACGTTCGTGACCGCGCTGGTGCTGATGCTGCGTGCATGAGGCAGCACTTTTCCCGCCTCCAGATCGTCAGACTGCGTCCAGCGCCGAAGTGTCATGACGTGAGCGTCCGCCCGCCTCCTCATCATCACTTTTATCATCATCGTCTTGCTGCTCCTCCTCATCCCTGCATGACAGCATTGGAGCATCAGGCAATCAGGTGTGTGTGTGTGTGTGTGTGTGTGTGTGTGTGTGTGTGTGTGCGTGCTTGGGCTGTTGAACATGTGATGACGTCAGCGCTTCCTGTCGTGTCGTCTGCGGGGCAGTTGGCCTCGCTCTCTTTCTCTCTCTTATTCTCAATTTCTCTGCTTCTCTCTCATTCTTTCACAATGTCTCTCGCTCGCCTCCTTTCTGTGCCTCTATCTGCCAATCTCGACCACTCCCTCCTCCAGCCTACATCCTAAACAGCTGAGTCATCTTGTCTTGACTCTTCCTCCCTTGTGTGTGTGTGTGTGTGTGTGTGTGTGTGTGTGTGTGTGTGTGTGTGTGTGTGTGTGTGTGTGTGTGTTTTCAGAAAACGCTGAGTCATGTCCGCCGGCCTGGACGACAGCGACAGCGTGTTTGGTATGTAAAAAGTACTGACCTCTGATGGCAAAGTCAACTTTTGGCCATGTCATGTGACATGACGACATCAGGTGTACGTGTTGATATGTGCTTGTGTCAGAGCTGAATTCGGTGATTCCCGAGACAGAGCTGCTGGACAACAGCATTCAGAAGGGGCGAGCGCAGCTCAGCCGGAGGCACCGCCCCTCTCGCTCCCGTTGCCATGACAGCGTCAGCTCCAATGACGACAACGGCGATGACAGTTTGGACAGGAAACAGGTGCTTACCCCCACATGCACCTGTGTCAAGGGGACCATGTGACATGATAGCACCTGACCAGTATGTGTGTGTGTGTGACGGCAGGACAATGCAACGTTCTCTGTCCACTCTCCTCTCCAAGTGACAATGCGAGGCTCTTCTCCTTCCCCCGATTTGCTGCTGTCGCCACGTAGCTCCCCCTTCACCTTTGACACGTCACTGGTGGGTCACTCACATGTCAGCATTAAAAATGCGGGAAAAAGAAACCATCCACTACAGACTGATATTTCTCAGGTGCGTCGCTTGCCGGATGATGCCGGCTTGTCATTGGCTGTGGCCCCAAGGCCACGGTACCACCAACTAACCAATGACACGACTCAAGAGGCTCTGGCCACGTCTGCGGGCTTACTTTCCAAGTCCTGCCCTGCCTCCTCTGACGCCTCGCCCGTTTACACTCGAAGGAGCAGGAGGCCGGACAGCGAAGGTATGCACACAAATGCACACATACGCCTAATATGACTTTGTTTGTATGTGTGTGTGTTTGTGTGTGTGTGTGTGTGTGTGTGTGTGTGTGTGTGTGTGTGTGTGTGTGTGTGTGTGCGCGCGCGCGTGCACACATCAGTTCTGGTGTCCGAGTCCAGTCGAGAGTCGAGTCCTGCCGACCCTCTTCCCGTACTGATGGACCAGAAAACCAAAAGACGCTTCCAGGATTTGGGGTGAGCGCGGCGGCCGTGTTTGTGCTGAGTAGGCCCCGCCCCTTATTGTTGTGATGTCACTGAGGCTTTTGTCATGTGATCAGTGTGACGCTCAGGCGCTCGTACCTTCGAGTGAAGAAGGATAAACTAGACAAAAGAGACAAACGGGCCAGCGAGGGGGGTGGCAGGTGAGTTTGATCACAACCAACACACACACACACACACACACACACACACACACACACACACACACACACACACACACACACAAACACTGACCTCGGCGTCCCGCCCAGGGACACGTCCGACAGTTTCCAAGGGCGAGAGTGTTCATCGTCATCTTCACGAACGTCCACATCCTTCGTCTCCTTTTCCTGGTTTTCTTCATCGGGAACGTCACCCGGATCTCCGCGAATGCACCCCGCCACTGAACACGCGCCTCCAAAGTCTTGCTCACAGGTATACGCTTCTTGTTCCTGGTAAACGCTTCCTGCTGCTTGTCAAAACTTCCTGTTCATGGGTCTGTACTTCCAGTTTCTACAGAACACTTCCTGTTGATCCGTATACACCTGTTCATTCCTTCCTGTTCATTGGTACATGCACACTTCCTGTTATGAGTAAACATTTTCTGTCCCTCAGTATGCACTTCCTGTTACTGGGATGGTCTTCCTGTGGCTAGTAAGCACTTCATGTTCTCTGGTACACAATTCCTCCTGGGACATCCTTCCTGTCTTTGTTTCCTATTTCTGACATATGATGTTAGCTTGTAGCAATTAGCACAAAATTGCTATTAGACAGGGGTAACGAACTCAAATCATATGATCAGCTTATCAGCAAGTTCTGTCGAGGCCCGAAACAATGATGAACAATTGAATCAGGCGAGAGGGATCTAAAACAGGCAGGATGTGGTATCTTGAGGAACCGGAGTTCCCTACCCCTGATAGAAAGTGTTACGTGTGACATGGCATCACAGCGAGGTAATTGATTGGGCAGAAGCAAATAAAAGGTGACAAAATGTCTCCTCAAACAGGAAGTAGGAACAGAAAAAAACTTTTCTTGCATGTATTGCAGGAATCAACTTTGAGCGAGGACTTTTCGCCTCCTCAGACGTCCTCGTCCGTGTGTCCTCACGTGGAGTTGTCCTCCTCTATGTCCTCCTCGCACCCTTACCAAACACTGTCGCAGTCTTCTGACGAGGTAGTGCATGCCCGAGCACACGAGCACAAACACAATATTATCTTGGCAAGCGCAAATCAGCAGTAAATTAACGCTTTGGAGATTTTGGATATATCAGCTGTTGTTTGGCTTATGGTTGTTTGCTTTCGAATTAACCAGCCGTGGTAGTCCCGCCCCTTTTGTCATATGCGATTTTTACACATTTTCCAAGTTCATTTGGATACTAATTAGCCTATTTCACGAGCTTGAGCGGCTGCTGCAAAGCCTGTCAAATGTCAAACGTCACGCGTACGTATGCTGCTAATGATGATGCTGACCGACGCTGACCCCGACGCTGGTTTGCGGGGCGTGCGTGTTAGCTGGCCGACGAGGCGCCGTCCGCGGTGGCGTCGTGGACGAGCCAGCAGGTATGCGAGTGGCTGCGGGAGCTAAGCATGGACCAGTACGTCCCCGAATTCCGAGCTGGACACGTGGACGGACACTCACTACTCCAGTTGGATGGCGGAAAGCTCAAGGTGAGCGCGCACACACACACACACACGTGCAGAGCAAAAAATGTCACTTGTATTTTTGGTAGTTTTACTGTTTTAATTCTTGCAGGGTCTCGGCGTGCTGAGTTCGTGCGACCGTGGCGCTCTCAAGCGGCGGATCAAAGTCTTGCAGGCGGCGGCCGACAAGAACAAGAAGGGCAAGGACAAAGATAAAGAGCGCCGCAAGCAGCGCGAGGAGCGCTGGAACTGAATGCCGCCACCCGCCCAAAGTTGGGGTGGGGTGGATGGCAGTCAGAAGAGGGACGGATGGCGTGCGGCCTTGTTACGAATGGGATGTTCAAATATGGTCAAAGTGCAGGTGTCTCTCTCCCACCTATGCAAAAGAGACGCAAATGGTTTTGTGTGCAAGATGCATCTTGTCATGAGCGTGCTTTCCAATAAAAGGCCCCTATTGCGAAAGAACAGGAAGTGTCGATCATTATTTGCGTTACTAGTGATTTGCATGAAATGACGAATTGCACAAATGAGGTAACAAGGGTGACTTGACTGTGGAAGAGAAATAGTTGTGGTTAGCTGCACTCGATCTTTTTGGAGGGTGATATAATTCCAGATTTTCTGAATTCCTTGTCGTTCCTTCTGGCTTACGCGTTCTGCTGCCCACGTCTTTCATAATACAAGTCCATGAGCAAAATGATCACCGCAAAATCCTGTGACAGAGAACAAGCTGCCATATCAATTTCGATATGTACAATCTAAAAAAAAAAATCTACAGTTACAGTGAGACTCCGACAAGTGACCCATCATAGTCAGCTGTCACTATGAAAGAGTTTATTCCATTGATAATTGGATGGAATTTTATTTTGTATTTAAGTGTATTACAAAACATTTTTCCCCAGATAACTCTTTATCAACCCAAAAATTTATGTTTGGTATTATTTGGTGATTTAAAACAACAGCAACAATGAATATCAGTATACATGAGGGTTTGACGTTCTCGGAAACCTTTTTAAAACTCAAGTCTGCTTTCATGGAGGACTGGAGAATATTTATTGTTGAGATGCTGAAATTCAGCTGAAGTTCAACAAGGTTTTGAAAGGATTTGGCAGTTATAAAAATAATTCATTTGATCATTGATGAGTTATCAGTGAGTCGATGAAGTGTTGCATCACAACGGATCGCGCGTGAATCCCATCACAGGGCTCCATCCAAATAAATATAAATAAGATGATGACAAATAAATAGGAATGATCGAGTCATAAATATGAAAAGTAAAGCAATAGATAAATAAATAAGTGCCTTGCGTCAAGTAAGGCGAGTGTGCGGAACACAGTGCAAGCTTGGAGCGTGTCTTGGCACATCACATTCCTCACTGGGGCTGACTGGTCGCCCCGCCCACCACCATCATCATTAACTTCAACTTCTTCCACAAAGTGGGTGCCTGCAGGCGATAAAACTGCATCGTATGTCCGTCCAGTAGGGGGCAGCACAGGAAGAGGGCAGAGGCCCAGTATTATTCCACGGAATATTCCAGCATCCTTCTTGGCGCCACATCCTTGGGAAGCAGAGGCTGGCCAAAGTGCGAGTGGCGCGTTTTAGCGTGCCAGCGTCCTGTGGCCGGTGATGGCTCGGAGGCTTCGGATGACATCGTGCATGAAGGATCTGAGCTGCGTGAGTGTCAGGTGAGCGGCTGCCTGCGTCTCGTAGTCACCTTGGAGACGCGCCGCCAGCCCCGCCCATTGATCCAGGTCCTCATCCAGGCTGGCGTTGCCGCCGCTGGGCCCGGCCACCTCTCGGGCCTGCGAACATCCCGTTCGTTAGCACGCGTCATCCATTCCGACAGCTAGCGTTAGCACGGGCGTTACCTTATCAACGTGAGCCAGCAAGTCTCGCAGGTCGGCCTGAAGGCTGTCCAGACCACCAAGGCGCTCTGATAAAACTTCGAGAAGACCCTGGAACATCCGCACGCCTGCCGCCATGCGACTCATGCATGTGTCCTGCAGAACATATCGTCAGGCAAGAACAAGATGGTCATTGTCGTCCAGTTTCTCTTTTTGTGAAGGCATGCATGCAAGTATGGTTTTTAAAGGGTCTTGGCACCCAATGCGTTCCACTGGTTGATGCGTTACAAGGGTCAAAACGAGCCTCTGGCATGGTTGACGTTGGATAATTACGTGGTTTGCCAATACTTTGCAATCTGCGACAAAATAGTAAAAAAGTCTTGCTTGGGTCACACATGCCACTTATTGTCTTACATCTCAAATTATCATGAGAAATGGCCCTCTTCAAGATGTCAGACCTTTTTGACCAAATAAAAAACCTTGGCAAAGGGCGTCGTGGGTTATTTGCAACCCAAATCACCTTGGAAACCGAATAACAAGAATCTATATAGACATAAAAATAATAATGGAAGCATCGGACCATTCACGTTTCTTTTGTACTATGCAAATGGGAATATTTTCAAAGAATGGCAAGAACTGAGGCATGGTTCTTGTTTGAGCTTACACAAAGACAGCAAGCCATTCGCAACATTTGAAAGTGCACAAAGAACGCACCGGCCAGTGGGACACATTTGGAACCAAATCAAAGAGGCAGCAAATTGGGACACGTGAAGTTGGTGTGAGTATTGCGCTTGCTGACCACGTTGAAGTTTGGCGAGAGAGGCTTGAGGACGGGCGCGGGGGGGATGTGGAGGGCGGTGGCCATCATCTGAAGGTCGCTGGTCAGCGGCAGGAAGTCAAGCGTCGAAGCCTGCATGGGGGAACAGAAAGCGGGCGGGATCAGCGAAAGAGCAAGCGATGAGGCGAGATGAGATGATGTGATAGCTGACCTGGGCGAGCACGGTGGGGACGTCTTTGGAAATTTTGTCCGCCAGCATGCGGGCTCGTTCGAGTGCATCTCGCAAGGCTGGTGAAGGGCCGGCAGTGGGTGCCGGACGGGTCACCCGTGGGAACAGGATGCAGCAGAGAAGAGGGAAAACTGCAGAAGCAAAATGGATGGAATGAATTGATTGGTGAATTTGAGGACGGCGACCCCATGTGGACAAAAATCAAACTTGCACCTGGGACAGTATCCTCGCCATAAATGAGGGATTCTGTTCGGTCTGGCCAAAGTGATGAATGAATCTATCGCAAGTTATTTCGCTGGGCCACGCACAAGTTTTAATTTGGTCACAGTTTCGAACATCAGCAAACAAATACTGTGCGTAGGCGTCTTTAGCCTATATGCCTCAAATGTTCGTGCCAAAAAAGAAGTTTCAGACGCGCTGTCAGTCTAAAATAGGAGGTGACACAGCACATATTACGCTCAGGTGAAAGAGATCTTTGACACCTGTGAAGAACTCCTCTAATCGAATCCACATCAAATAATTTCAATCAGTATCGAATCCAAACGAAGGAAAAGCCTATGGGGTGGGCAATACCATATCGCTTATATCAGGGGGTCTGCAAAACAAACAAACACACACACACACACCTAAAACATTACAGATAATAAACAAAAAAAAGTTCAATAGCTATAAGGTAAATAATAATAATAATAATTATTCTTATTATTGTTGTTATTATTAAGATAAGATAAGAAAACCTTCTCGCAATTCACAGCAGCAAAGTTATGAAAGGAAGAAGTAGAATTATTCAATAATAATAATAAAATAATAACAATAACATACATTAAACTGTAATTTGTTGTTTCTCTATCACAACCACGTATATATATATATATATCTTGAATCTTGAATGTTTGACTGAGAGGCGACGTCTCTCTGGTGCTTGTTGGTGACGCAACTTTAATTTTGAAGGCGAAAGTTGGAGCCGCCTCCTCCCTGTTGGCCACTGAATGCACACTGCGTCAGTCCTGGTCAAGTCAAGCGTATTTATATAGTCCTTAATCACATACGAGTCTCAAAGGGCTTCACGTGACAACAGTTGACAAATATCAACGATTAATCCCACAGTGCCTACACGCCTCGGAAAAGTTCAACGAGCAACGAGGGTCGGGTGAACAAAATTGCATGAGCGTGCACGTGACCCCGAGGGGGCGTGGCCGCGCTGGCTGCGTTCTGCACTCACCTGCGTGCGCGTGCATGTCGCTCACGGCGGTTTGGGGTCTCGAGCGATTCCGACGACCAAGACCAAGATTAAGACGACGACGAAGAACGAGTGCGCTACATCTTCCATTGGCGCTTTTATTGAAGCGGTTCCGCCGGGAATTTCCACCCACATTACACGGACCCGACGCTAACTCTGCCTAAGTGACGACAGCTCCCCGTGACGTCACCACGGTTCCGATGAACGAGCGCGTCTGCATTATTTCCGGGTGCAGCACGAACTTGAGTTGAACTCAACGTTTTGGCGTTAAGGCGTGCTGTGAATGGCATGCATTTGAAACCAGTTGAATGCAGCACTTGAAGTAGTAGAAAGGCGAACGGTTCCTTATTTGCATGTGCTCGGCGTGCATTTCAGCATTCGGAAATCGTGGAAGATCTGGAATGCTCGGAGGCATAGTTCGGGTTTCACAATACGGTGATTCACTCTTCTTCATCATCATCAGTGTGACCACACTTCCTGTCCAAGGACTGTCAGTCAAGTCAAAGTCCTTGGAACGCTGTTGAAAAAAAAATGTCAGATGCCATTTATATGCTTTGGGGGGGGCTATTTTTGAACAAAGTCATTTTTAAAATGTGTTCATATTTGTTATAATAGTGGGTTGCAACTTTGCAACAATAGGAAAAACTTGAGAAACCAATATATCGCATAATGCATTGCACTGATCCAGAAAAATTGTGACGAGTTGTGGTGTGCATTTTCTGCCCAGTCGATATGCAATCATGCCCAATCTTTGAATAGAGGAATGAAAATTGCAAAAGGTTTGATTCAATTCATTCATTCATTCAAAAAAATCGACAGGTCAGTTGATGATTCAAATAATGGTGACTTGCACCCCTCAATAAGTTGTTCAATACGTATCAGCAAGTTCCGGCAGCTGACGATGTGATGATTCCAGAGAAATTATGTCTTTAGTAGTCATGTATTGTAATGCCCTTCAATGCGGAAAGAAGGATGCACGCAGTCGCTGATGCAATCTGTCGTTTTTTTTTAATAAACAAAAAGAGTTATAATAACACACACATTCATAGGAGTTGCTGTTAGCCACAACTCACGCCCATGCGCTCCACACTCAGACTAACTACCGGAGCCAATATTCCCCCAACCTGGCTCCTCCCCTCTCTATGACGTCACACGAATCCAAGAAATAGATATTACAGTATTTCAAAACCAGTATTTGACCAGTGACTCAAATTAGTAGTGTTTCGAAACCAGTATTTGACCAATGACTCAACTACTGTATTTCAAATAAAAAATGGACCAAAGACTCAAATGACTCAACTGCTGTACTGTAAAAATGGAGTGAAACATTCGCCATTCACGCTATTTGCACAGGAGGGCAATTCCTTGGAGATGTCCACATTGCCAATGGAAAGATACACAGAAACGTGTTCGTCTTTGTATGACGTGTGGAAAATGAGAAAGAGAAATGCCTCTGTAGTACATAGACCAAATTTGCCGAGCAAAGGACGATGTCGTGCATTTGAGGATATTCCAGGGGAGTTAAAAAAAATGGATTGTGTACTTGTGTTAAAATGAGAGATTAGGGTATCCTCTATAATATCTAGTGTAGTGGATGCCACATGTCATCTTGAAAAAGGAGCCAATGACTACGCTTACTAAAAAAAAAAATCTTCCACCATATACGCAAAAAGCGCTTTCGGCTTTGTTTTGAATTTTGGCCATGAAAATATCACAAGGCCGATTCAGTGGCAGGCCTTGATTGAATGGAATCCTGTGGGAGACCCCCTCCCCCCGCCCCCTAATTCCACCAAAACACTTGCCCACACAGCGAAGCATTTCTTTTCAAAGGTGAATTGTAAATCAAGCTGCATCTTTTGCATGTTTCTCCTCTTCTTCAGTTTTGTCGAACAACAGCGATGTTTGTCGCATTTTGGGGACGTCTCGGCCGACGAGCGCGACCAGACTGCCCTCACATTCATATAAAAAATCGGTTTTGGAAAAAAATAAAATAAAAAGTTCACCTCGAAGTGAAAAAAAAATACGCGTCACCCGTGAGCAAAAACATCGGAATTGACCTCCAGCGTGAACGTAGCCTTCCGTTTGCCAGCAACAGACTCGACGAAAGGGTGACTCCACAAGGGGGCTCGACATTTCTCATACAAACATCCGCTGGACATCCAACAAGGAATCTTCCATTGACAAATGTTTTGAGGAATCGTTTTGAGACTTTGTTTCACTTAAACCCTTAATTTCAACTTCTCCACAGACAATATTTTCCAATTTTTGTAGACCGAAATTTGCACTCCATTTTTTTTTCATCAGAGATGCAAATCAACTTTGTGGAATTCATTGTTGCTCTTGTTTTCTCGAACACATCAAGTTTCCATAATATTTATAATTAGTAATTTAGTAATTAGGGGTTAGGTTTAGCAACAAGTGGATTTTTTTTTTGCTGAAAGTCATAGCTATAAATTCCAAGTAACAACACACGGTAAAATCCTGATTGCGCAAGCTTTTTTAGATCAATATCTCCAAAACCAGATGTGCGAGTAAAAAGTACACATTCTTTCAATCCACGTCAAACATGAGTTTCAGAACACACAAAAAGTAATCCCGGATTGGAATTTGCTATTCACCAGTGTTGTCTTTGTGGGGTTTTTTTCCCCAAAATAAGATATTTTTACTTTGGGGAAACAATCGGCAAGGTTTTTGCCCATTTTCTGCTCGATGTTATGGACCAAATATGATTTTTTTTTTCTGATCCAATTCATCGATGAATGAAAAAAAATATGCAAACATTCATTGCAGCTCTACACTAGACAATCATTTCATGTGCCAGAATCTCGCCGCTCCCTTTGCTTCTATGAAATTGAGAAAATAAAAAAATATCTTTAAACAGTAAGAATGTGTTTGGAATGTATTTATTAGTTGAAGTGTTTTTATGATAGGTCCACCAAATGACGTTGATCCAGTTCATTGTAATGCAAGAGCAATGACGTCATTACGGGTGCCAAAGTTGTGTTCTTAAACTATTTTTCACTTGACGCACGACTCCACTGTCTCGTCCAGCATATCGAAATGCGCGTATAGAGTCGGCAAAAATTCAACAGTCGCCAATGCGTTGACAATCGTTGCCGCATTCCCGATTCTCCAATCAGCGCGAATGGACATTTTACGGAACTATCGAGGACCAGTATAGCCAGATGAGGGAAATGACTGCACAGACGAGAAGCAGCAGTTGCTGCCATGATGGCGGACGCCTCAGGTGAGGATGATGAGGGGCACCTCTTTGTCTCCAGTGCCGAACAGCGGGAACATCTGCTCAGTGAATTCGCCGCAGTTGAAGCTGAAGATCTCGGAACCCGATTTGGCGTTGTAGAAGGACACTTGCCCCGCCTCCACGTCCAGGAACACACCCATCTGACGCAGTTTGGGCGGGGCCTTGACCTGGTAGGTGAAAAAGAAGCACGCAAATGCAGTCAAGCCCGCCTGTCAAATAGGAACACAGCACATCCAAATATTTAGGGCTGCAACTAATAAATGAATAATCTCCAGACTATTTTTTTTTCGATGAATTGATTAATCAAATTTTTAACATTTCAATATCTTAATTGAAAAAAACACCCATTATTTCAATTAACTCAGGGGTCGGCAACCCAAAGTGTTGAAAGAGCCATATAGGACAAAAAAAAACAAAAAACAAATATGGCCGGAGTCGCAAAAAAATAAAAGCCTTCTATAAAACTTATAATGAAGGAAACACATGCTGTTTGTATGTAGGAGACTGGACTGTCTCACAATTGTTTGTTATTCATTCCTTTGTTGTGTGTTCACAAACTCCCCCATAGAATTTATTTTGTGATTTCCTCGCTTGATTTTTTTGTTTTGGTGCATTATTTTCGCTTTTCTTAGTGTCAGTGAAGTGATCATGAATTTCCGTTTTTCGGAGGCTGTCTTTGAATGCCTCTCGAGTCAAACGAGAAGAGAGAAGGCACAGAGTCGGACGCAGACGTGTGTGTGTTTGTCGAGACTGTTAAAAGCAGAAATGAAGTGTACGTTTTAAAAAACCAACACCAAAGCTCTCCTTTTTCGAAGCTGCAACATGTATCTATATCTATTTGAGCTATATTAGCCTACTATCAAAATCTTTTTTCATTTTCAAACATTTTTCATAAAGCTCCAGGGAGCCACTAGATGTCGCCAAATAGCCGCATGCAGCTCTGGAGCCGCGTGTTGCCGACCCCCGAATTAACTGGAATTTACACACCAGAGCTTTTCACCAAGATTTTCAGGCTTGACCAACTTCACTACCTTCCCTGTGTCAATCCAGCGACAAAATTCTGCATATTTGTTGGTTTAGTGAACAGGCTCTGGGTCCCTCAACAACGGCACAGTTGACTAAAAAATTGTGAGTCAACCCTTTCAATCATCGATTTGTTTCAATTTGTTGATGCAGCCCTACAAATATTTGCTACGGGGCAACGGGAAACAAGTAGGCGGTACCTTGGTGAGTGGCGGTGCAGTGAGTGCTCGCAGTTGGCTGCCGCTCCACCAGAGGGCGAAATATCCATTGGATGGGCTCATATCAAACAGGCCCTTCCTCTGTGCAGACTCAGTTGCCACGCCCAACTTCCAGTCTTTGTTCTCGCCCACCATCACCTGTGTGCGCGTGCGCACACACAAATACACACACAGTCACACACTCACATATAGGCACAGTGACAGAATTACAGACCTCCCAGTAGTGTCGTCCAGTGGCGTATCCTTCCTTGGCTGTGATGCACGACCATACGTCAAATCGATGCTGACTGTTGCGATAAAACTGCAGCTTCTCACCACGCTTCACCTGCTTCCTGTCCTCCGACAGGATCAGGAAAGGGTACGCCGTCATCGGGTTCAAGGTCACATCGTCTGAAGACCAAGGAGAGCGTAGCGCGCCGCCGTGAGCCTCATCGATGCTAACAAAAGCGCTCCTGATGACATGAGGAAAGGTCATAGGTTCTCACCCATGTACGCGCGAGCCTTCTTGTGACCTGGGTGACCCCAACACAACATAAACGCACTTTTAGTCGTTGAATCGAATGAATTTGGTGAAGCTGATGACACAGTGTGAATGTTGGACGTACGCACCCGACACCGGCTTCATCTTCTTCATGTCTGAAAGGAAACGGGAAGCCAGCGTCAGTCTCGCTTTCACAATAAAAAATGACTTAAGGATCTTTCTCACTGGCGAGCAGATGGCAACTACGATGATTACAGAGACGTGTCGGCAATGTCTTCTGGAGACTAGCCGGGTTTCCAGAGAATCTCGCTCAATTGAAATGTTTTGGGTTTTTTTGCTTCCCAAGTTTCCAGCCGGTCTGTGAGATGTCACAGAGACTAATTCTCTGTGACACCTTCAAGACCGGTGGCATCCGCGCAACAAAGCTAGACCACGTCGAGCTGCATACGGAGTCTTCTCGTGGCAACTTCTGGGCGAATTAGTCTCCTCAAGACTTCTCCCTGATGAGAACGCAAGAAACATTTTGGTCTCCTGAGTTGACTCGAGTCTTGACCAGTGAGATAGATCCTCCAGCAGATGAAGACGCTGCAATCAAATTCATCCACTGGGAAATGCAAAGTTGCTGAAGCTGAAGCGGATGACCTCTGAGTGCCCATTGGCTCCTCCTCAGGCTGCTGCTGCTTCCTCTGAGATTGAGCATGCTCTCCGCCGCCATCATCTGGTCACTCGACAACACTGCAATACACGGTATGTGAACGGGCGGAAACCAAGATGGATCTCTGGCTGGCGGCGCCGCTCACGGGAAGCCACGGATCCTCTGGCCCCGCCGCCGCCGCCGCCCAACCTGGCGTCCTCCATCCTGTCTCGAACTTCAGCCAGCGCTGCCTTGACTCCGCCCAGGTTGAAGTAGAGGTTGAGGTCCAGGTCGTCCACGTTGATGGGCTCGTCCGAGCCCAATGGCGACGTGGCCTCTGAGAAGCTCTGAACGAACACATCAAAGGTCAGCTGATGTCACCGACGTCGCCGACGTCACCCGAGTTCCCGTACGACCTGCAGGAATCCAATGTGGTCCTGACTGACAGCCTGAGTCTCTAGCTGGGCCCGTCTGTCCGTCAGCTGTCCGAGCTCCGCCTCCAGAAGGCTGACTTGGCCCTCGCCCCTGGCCAGGACCGCCCCCATCTGCTGCTGGACTCCGCCCACCACCTGGGCTCGGAGACGGTCCAGGGAGCTGGCCGCCTCATCCAGCAACGTTTCCACTTCTCCGCGCTCTCGCTCGCCGTAGTTCTGCCATTAACACGTTACCGCGTTAACAATGCTTGCAACATGGGTTGGGAAACAAAGACTCCGACCTTGACACCGTCCATCTTGGTCTTCAGCTCGGCCAAGATCATCTGCTTGTCCTTTATCCTGTTCAAGATCTCCTGCTCCGTCCTCGCCACGTGTTTCTACACAGGTAGCCGCACGATGAGTTTGACAGGGAACAGGAAATGAGGGTGCGTGGAAAGGGCACGTACCTGTTTGCTGAGTCGTTCAGTCTGGACCGAGACAGTCTGGTGAGTTCGGTGGTCCTCCAGCACACAGATGGCACAAATGCAACGCTGACAGGTCCGACAGAACACCTGAACGTCGACGCATCACAACACACCAACATCATGCACCTTCACGTATCATCACGTATGACTGCATAGGATCACGTACAGTCGTGCTTTGAGGTACCTCTTCAATTGAGTCTCCTAACTCACATCCTCTTTGCCCACTGAAAGGGCGGGAAATGCAATGAATTCGGTCCAGCACCCGCCCCCCTCACATCCCCAAAAAAGCAAAAACAACAAAAAAATGTCAGAATTTGTATTTGAATTAGGAGAATTAGCACTCCATAATATTGGTCTTTATAAAAACCTTGATTTTGCAATCTCAGCCACCAAGTGAGCAATAAAAGACGGCTGGATGGACTGCTCATTGAAGGATTTCGAAGACCTCTTAAATCCTTTTGGAGCTCATCAATACAGCACTAATATTAGCGGTTCTATTCAAAGGATAAAGAATACATGTCTGAGTACTGTTATATTGTCTGTCGACATGTTTCTGAACCATTTGTGTTCAATCTGGTGTTTAAAGAATGGAAGTACCGTAACATAGATGCTAATTAGCGTTAGCCTACTTCTGGCCTTTCCTTAAGCCGTTGTTTCACTATTATCCAAATTGGTGAAGTGTAAGTTGAGTTCACTGCCACCCAAAAACAAACAAACAAAAAAAAAATGACGGCTCGTATCAGTTCGCCATTCATATGTCAAGGCACCACTGTATATTCCAAGTATTATGATTACACAGATGATCACGTATCATCAATGATCATTGAGGTTTCTTTTGCTTTGTTAACATGCGATCACGTATGATCTGGCACGTTGGCATGTTGTGCTGTCCATCCTCTCACCTCCAACAGGCGGCGGTGTAGTGAGCAGGTGCGTCCCCTGAGCGCCTGCTGTGGGTCCATGAGAGGATGCTTGGCGTAGAAGGGTGTGTTGTGATGGGGCCGGACGTGTTCGGCGCAATACGCCGCCGTGCATGTCAAGCAGGAGCTGACGGCCGGCTGCTTGATCCCCGTGCACACGTCGCACCAAATCACGTCCTCATTAGACGCCTTCACAAACGGGTTGGTGCTGTTGGCTGGCACGCTAGATGCGGTGGCGTTGCCGTAGCGAGAAATTTTGTAATTCTCCGTGATCACAGCGAAAACTTTGTTGATGCTCAGCTGTGGACGCTCTTCAAAGGCGTATTTGCAAAGCGGACATGTGCATGTGGTGGTCGATGCCCAGTACCCGCCGATACAAGCCTGAAAAAAAAAGGGAGCATAAACACTGGGGCTAAGAAGCTAGCATGCTAACCAAACTGTATTGTAACACAATGAACCTAAGCTAGTCCACTAACCAGTCGCGTGACACACGGATGCTAACACACAAACCACTGACATCACATACTGATGCTAAGTTAGCACACAGTCATATAACACACTGACAGCATGCAAATCAAACAGTCATGTGATACTAATGAGTGTGTGTTGTTGGTATGTACCTGGCAGAAGTTGTGACCGCATGGTGTGGAGACAGGGTCAGTGAAGAGGTCGAGACAAATGGAGCAGGTGAGTTCCTGCTCTGTGAACAGATCGGGCGCCATCGCCGCCTCTGCCATCTTGTTTCCTGGCCACAAAATGTACATCTACGTCAATATTTGCCTTAGCCCGGGAAGAACAGGTGAAACAGGAAGTGCCTCGAAGGCAACGCCCCATTCCTCAGCACTCACATACAAATAAGAAACCATCTACTTCCTGTCACGTGACCCACAACTCTGATGACTGCCTATTTGATTGGCACCAGGTGTGATGGGGGGGCCGAGCCAAATAGCACCAATGACTGTCACACAAAAACACATACACAAACTCTCACTCGCACAATTACAAATGCTCGCTGTTTCTCACCACACACACAGCATTTGACAACATGAGTGCCATTCCACAACCTGTCGGTTCACTGACATTGACATACGGGCTTCATGTGACATGTCAATCATAAAGGGGCCAAGAAAAGCGCAAAGCTGAGCGGTGGCCTTTCACCTGTTTGTCCTCTGCTGTCCCCTGCTGCTGTGGTGGATGAAATGCGACACATGCTAGCATCGTTATCCTGAGCATTTTCATCGCGTGTTTGTCAGCACCCTTTCAAAACAAAAGTTCCCATTCACTCATGGGTTTTACTTTCACACTAAAAGTCTGTTCAGATTCAATGCATACATGGAGCTGTTCCTTTCGAAATAAAAGGAACTTGTTGAGGTTCACCTATTTATTTGCACGTGTTCCTTTCAACATAAATGCTTTTAGTTATTACTCCCCCCCCTTACCCCGGCCTCTAAATAAAAACGCTGCTCATATTCTATCAGCTGCTCCACTAGCGTTCATTCTCAATTTTTGCCACCGCAGTAGCTGTTCCTTTCAAAATAAAGTGACGATCTTGGTCGCTCCCACGAGGCATTTGACTTGGGGAGAAAAATGAGGTCCGAGGTTGCAAAGTGCATCAAAATCTGTCAAAAGTTTTCTTACCTGCTTCTCGGCAGTTGCGTTTCTGCTCAGCCTGAAACGCAAGTTTCACTGTGACGTTTGCAGGGGCGTGGTCTGGCAAAAGTGGTCGGGCCACATGTTTGCGTGACGGTCGATCACCACGACACCTCACTGCGACACTCACCATTGGATGGATACCCCCATTCATTTTACTTCCAAGAAAATCGCACGAGTGTTACAGGACACAAAGCAGTAAAAAATACAACTAAACAAAATATAAAACACAAGAATGGACATCCATCATCTGAACCGGTTGATCTCCACAAGGGTTACGGGTGTGCTGGAGCCATTGGCAGCTGTGAAATGCGGGGCAGTAGGCGGGTTACACCCTGAACTGTTGCCAACCAATCTCAGGACACACATAGGGTGATGAATTAACCTACCACACTTTTATTTTTTTATTTAAAAATGTGGAAGGAAACCACAAGACTACCCGGAAAAAAAACCCACACAGGCACAGAGAGAACATGCAAACTCCACTTCGGAAGGCCGAGACATTGACACGTAATGTAGCATGTGGTTCTTTGAATTGTGAGTGGAATTTGAGGAAGAGCTGAGAGTGTGGCTCTCCTTGCCCACTTCACTCACCTCAATGGTAGTATGTGAAGCTCGCTCATTCCACAAAATTTTCAAACCATTGCAACTATTTCTCCAAACGCATTGATATCGACTTGTTGGTCCAGTCAAGGTGGAACGTGGACAGTCAGACCGGCGTCTTGTCAGTGAAGTCATTGACGGCAGAGCTGGCCGACATCAGTCGGGATTGACCGCTGTTGCATATCCGGAGAAACGTACGCACGCTGTCTGGTATTTGTGCCAGGCTGAGCTACACTAAGCTAAGCTAACAGTCAAAATGAAATAATTCATCAAGCCCAAGAAAAGACAAGAAAGTTTATTTCATGACAAACGTGTGCATGTCCCATGACTTTAAGGACAAGTGACTCTGCCCTCTTCTTCATCCTCAGAAGCCCTTGTAGTGCAGCAGTCTGCGCACACATAAACATACACACACACAACAGGTGAATTACTAAAGTGTCTCATTGTTCAGACTTGACAACACTGATTTACTTCTGTAAAAAGTGCTGACTGATATCGTGTTTTGTGTGTGTCGAGTCTCTCAAATCACGGACGCATTATGTTCAAATTAGAAGTCGCATTTGTTTTTGTGATGTGAACGAGTACACAAGATTGCATAAAAAAAGTGAATTAGGCATCACGCCCTGTAGTTTGAACATAGCTCAATTGTGACTGTGGCTGACATTTGTGTTCATTTTGTTCTCTTCTCTTGAAACACATCATCACCAAATGTCAGGCTGGTAAGTTGCAGCTCCAAATGATGAACGAGTTGAGACACTCGTGATGTCTCTCAGCAGCCAATTTCAAAACAATACGTTGTCAGCAAAGTGCAATGAATCAATGGTGAAGTGTATTTTTCAGCCTTTCGGCACTTTCACTCACAGAACTAAATCATAATAAGCAATTAAGCCAGATGTCTGCATTTTATTAAATGACCCGTGCCTCTGATTGGCTGTCTGACCTAAAGAGGGGGGCGTGTCCTTTGTTGTTAGCCAATGAGAAGAAGCCACTGTGAGGTGAGAAATCCATGCAGGAAACCCGGTAGACAAACTTCCTCTTGGCCACAGGAAAGTTGGAGAAGACACTCATGCTGGGAATGTGAACCTGATGATGACACGGTGGTCGTTTGTTATCACGGTGGAACGTTGTCCAGGCGACCACATTTCCGCCTCACCAGTTTGGCGGCTTCGTCTTCGTGTTGTGAGGCAATGGCCAGGATCTCTGCGCTGGAGTTAAAGGTGAGTGCGGTGGCAGGGGTCAGCAGATTCATGATGGCCTTCAGGGGCGTGGGATTGGCAGATTTAAGACACGCCTCCTGCGAGTACACGTTGACTACGCCCGCCCGCGAGCTGAAATGAAAAAGAACACATCCTAAATAAACGCGACATGACGTCATGAGACAGTACGTGGCATGACATGACAAATCTGCGCGTCTTACCCGCACGCCAGGTAGCGTCCGTCGGCGGACGTGGCGATTGCCGTGCTGGCGACGCAGCCGTGGTCCACGAACCTGCATAGACAGCGACTGCTACGCACGTCCCACACGTACACCTCGCCATCCTCTGAGGTCACCGCAGTCATGTCGTTATTCAGCCGTTGTGATGATGTCATTGTTACTGTTACATGATCAACTTGCCTGAGTTAGCAAACACTTTGCTGCCGTCGCTGTTCATAGCCACGCCCACCACCTCGCCGTTCAGCTTCATGCTGCTCACCACCTCCTTGGTCTGGTGCGCACATTGGGCTCGTCAACTTTTAGCAGCAACCTCACTCGAATTGTCAAAGTGCGACGAGCGCATACCTTGAGCGTGACCATGTGCAGGTATCCTCGAGTCCCTGTCAGCAGCAGAGCGTCCCCCGCAGGGCTCACGCAGAACTCCTTCACCCGAGGCTCTTGCAGCCCTGAATGCACCCACACACGTGAGCACTCACAAGTCTCAATGAGGCGCGTGTGTGCAGAGGTACCTCTGACGTGCTGCACCGGTGTGATGCGTCCTTCCATCATGTCGTACATGTAGAATATTTTGTTCCTCGTGCTGGTGGCGATGACGGTGTCGCCGTGGCAACTGAAACGAGCCTTGTGAACGGGGAAGCGGTCCAGGTGGACGCTCTGGATTTTACCGTTGGTCTTGCCGTCCACCTACGGCGCAGAGGAACACGCATGCGCGGCACTTCCTGTTACATGGTGACATCATTCACATGTTTGCTGACAACTGATGACGGAATTATCTAGCTCCGCCACATGGAAAATTATGGCCCAATTTTCAGTTGATGAACCATCTAGGTCTTCCATATGAAAATGTCATTTAAGTGGTTGGGGAGTCACAGCCGACTGACCTGGAAAAGGGACAGCGAGCAGTCGAGACCGGCTGTCAAGACCACTTGAGCCGACGGGTGGAACTGGACCGACGTCAGACGATCAGAAGATGGCCGCGCCGCATTGGCGTGGCAACACCTCTTCATCTGAAGCGCACCAATGGCACAACGTCAACAAACATGTCGCCGTGACAACCACATCATCAGCATAGCAGCTCATCATCGGCCACAAAACACATACATGGTCGTCATGGTGATGAAAAAAAGAGCAGGATAAAAGTTTAAACAAATGAGATTTTGTACTACATTGAAAAGAGTGAAAATATGTAATCAACTGAAATCAAAGAAGTGTTGACAATTTCAAAAAGCTCAAAAATGAAATATTTGTATGGCTCGTGACAAATCTTGAGTTCTTTTTTTTTTTTGTCGAATTGAGCTGAAATCTGATCGTTCCGGATTCAAACGTTTGGCTATGACTAATTGTGGGTACGATTGTTTCGACAAATGTATATTTAGCATTCTGAGTGAAATACCTTATATCAGCAATTACTCAACTGAATTGGAAAGAATGACGATCAGGGTTTGGCGCTTATAAGCAATGCTTCAGGGGTAACCCATTTCAAACATGTCTTTGACTGTTTGATTTTAGATTCATGCTGAATGAAATAAAATAAACTGCACAAATAAAACCTATCGATGATAACCAGACACACTGACGTTTTGGTCGACGTGACCACCAAAATGTGCACTCTCACCATGAGAACAATGGGTCAACACACCTGTCGGCTTGGCAAGCAGAATATGGGCGTGGTTGAGAATGATGATGTCACGACAACAGCAACGCACTTGTCCTGACAACAAGTATGTTGAGCAGCGCTCAACATGGTGTGAATTTACAGGCGCGCTGTCAGGACAACCACGCCTGAACGTGACTTTTACAGACCAGCCACATTGATGGTGTGGTTGTCAAGACGACCATGCAGCAACATGCATGTAGTGATGACGACTGCCAAGTGACTAACAAAACAGCTACTAGAGGGCGGGGCTGTTGTGCACACGAACGTACACGCATGCACACACGCACACGCACACAAAGCGCCACAAAGAACACGCATGTGCATATGAGCACCAACCCCGAGGATGCCGCTTGACAAACTGTCCGAAGACGCCACAAAGTTTCCCGTCCTCTTGAGTAGGTCGTCATCTTCGTCTTCGTCCCCATCTTCATCGTCATCTACCAACACACACACACACACACACACACACACACACACACACACACACACACACACACACACACACACACACAGGTGAGCGGTTGATTGGATGCGTTTCTATCTTGACAAGCATTTGGAGTTCGGCAGTGGCGCCTTTTACAACCCTTGAAGTAATAGATATTTGAACACAGATGGTGGTGCAAAACACACAAACAGATAATATAATAATACTGACAGGCACATATTCTTTATCCTTGCAAAAGATTACTGAGAAGTAGAAGAACCAGCACTGTATTCTACTTGGTTTGTCTCTGCGTGACTGTGTTATATGTTACTGCCACCCAGTGGAAAAGGCTACCACACCCAATGGCGCAGCACAATTAATTGGATTGCAGTATTAAATCATCATGCACATTTCAATGGGAAAAGATGATTTCAGATACCAGGGTTTTGAGTTACAAGTGTGGTCACACAGCAAACCCAATTTGTATGTAGAACCAGAACCCTACAAAAGTACAGGATGTGAGTACTTTTGCAACCTGGGAACTGCTGCATTTGCATTGTTGTGTTTTTACCTTTCACAGACTTCCTGCCGCTGCCAACGGCCCAGGATGGAGCTCCGCCCATCGACTTCTGGAATCTGACAAACACGCACACAGGCTTGAGTGTGCCTGAAGTGCACACGTGACCAATGCCAGTGTGTGTGTGTGTGGGTGTGTGTGTGTGTGGGTGTGTGTGTGTGTGGGTGTGTGTGTGTGTGGGTGTGTGTGTGTGTGGGTGTGTGTGTGTGTGGGTGTGTGTGTGTGTGGGTGTGTGTGTGTGTGGGTGTGTGTGTGTGTGCTTGTACTGACTGGTCTCTCATCCTTTGCTGCAGTTTTTTCTTGCTGAGGGTTGCCTCGGTATGTCCTCGCATCAGGTCGCTCCGGAAACGATGCCTCATATCCACCCTGACAATGACAAGTAGACACATCCTCAAATGTTAGCTTAGCCTGCTGATGTTGCCATGACAAGTCAAGAAAATGATTGCAAGTAGCGCCGTGCAATCACACGCTCGCGTGCGTGCGTACACTTACTCTTCCTCTAACTCATCATCTTCATCAACCCAAGCAGCTCTTTTGATTGGTGGAGGACGTAAACGCTCCTCCGTCTCCTTGTCCGATTGGACCAAAGCTTTTTCTTTTTCTTCTTCCTCATCCTCCTCAGCATCATCCTTAGATCAAACGCACGCACAAATGTTGACTGCTTTTCACGTTTGTTTCCTGATGGCATCACATGCGGGGGGTTACCTGCACGTCACCAAACACGAGCTCCTCCAGCTGTTGCACTGCAGGCTCGTGCGCGCGCAACACCGCCAAACTCTTGACGTTTTTCCGGCGTTCGCGCGCCTCCTCTGCGGGCGCCTTCGCGTCCACGTCCGACGGGCGCGTGCTCCTCTTCCTGGTCGACATTTTTGGATCCCGAAAAGAATCCTCCAAAAGTTTCTCAACTGGTTTTCTTTCCTCTCGTCACGACCGGTTGACTGTGTGTTTTTAGCACGTGGGAAAGTGATTTCCGGTGACGTCTGCCGGAAAAGAACGTGAGCCACAAAACTCCCTCACCAAATGGAGCCTGCCCCCCAGTGCTCAGAGGGGGAATTGCCTTGTTCACGTGCATGGACAAGTCCCCCCCCCCATATCGTTTACTTGAAGCAGCCACCCAAAAAAGAAAAAAAAAACTATTTCGCTTTTTAAAAGGAAAAGATAAAGGGAAGAAGGAGGAAATGAAACAAAAATGAACAATGTAGATCTTGTGTAATGAAACATGTTTATTGATTTAGCTTGATTTGAAAGATGAAACAGGAAGTTAATTAATGATCGTTACCAATGTAAACTACAGCAAATACACTTTTGTTTATTTATTCGTGCGTGAAGATTGAAGCCTCTGAGTGACTAATTACTGCTATTATTATGACCATGATTATAGCAAAGCTTATAAGTACAAGTTGACATACCACATGACTACTGCCACAGAAAATGACCCTACACATTCATACCTTTCATAATAAAAGCACACTCAGGAAGATGACCTTTCACAGTTTGGCAAAAAAAACCCATGCCACAAATAAAACAAACGTAGCAAGGACGAGTAATCAAAGACAACAATTCGCCACTTCCTGTCCAAACGTACTGAAATTGTTTCAGGAAGTTACATCACCACGTTAGCCAAAATACTCTACCGCATCGATGTTATCCAATCAATGTGACAAGCCAAGTGATGTGATAACCATAGCCTAGCTATCGACTCAACCATGTTAACCTAGCAATGTGACCATTTTTTGTTTCATTTAATTCAGTGGGGAAAGATGATTTGAGGTATGGGTCACAGAACGAATTCAACTCCTAATGTCAAAGCACCACTGTACTAACGGTGTTATAATGTTAGCGTTGCAAAGTAACCACAAACATTAGTCTAGCAACATGACATAAGCCTAGCCATGCAACTGCAATAGCTTATTGGTGGGATATTAGCCTAGTGAGGCGACGCTAGGTTCATAACATGACTATGTTTAGCCTACCAATGTTAGCATAGCAACATGACGTTAGTGGTATGAAAATTAGCCTCGTTACCATGTTCTACACTTATTTTGCCTAGTGATCTGATGGCATTGGCTTAGCTCATTGACTTTAGCCTCGCATGCAACTATGTTAACCTGGGCAATGTCAACATGTTAGCCTAACTGGGTTACTTCGAGCAGTGACAATGTAAGCCTCGCGATGTAACCACATTCAGGCATGGCACCAAGATGTTTTCTTTTCTATGGTCTTTGGAGTGGGTGGGGGGCATTAATTTTCATCACTTCAGTCTTATTTCTGAGGTTCTTGTTTTGCAACGATCGGATGATAAACAGCACAAGCATGCTATACATGAACACGTTTTGAACAGAATTTGCCCAAACAACATTCAACAAAATAGTTAAGGGTAACACGAGTGGCCAACCGGGCAATAATAAAAGCTTCAAACTAATTTGGCACACCTTCCCTCCCAAACACACAGAGGGTACAGGTGCAGCACAAGCATGGAAGCAGGAATTGGATTGGAACACAATGGCTCGCTACTTGTGAATGACTTGTTTGTCAATAAATAGAAAATATTTTAAAATGTAAAATAAAACAGCAGACGACTTGACTGAGGCTAACCAGAGTTTTGACGGGGCTATAGCAGACCCTCGCCCCAGGGTAGCACCGAGCCTGACCACAATAGCCTATTGACGCGATTTTAATTAGACAATGTTAGCTAAACAAGCGAGGTGACATGAATATGTCAGCCTCGTGGGGAAACGTGAGCCTATCAAGATGACATTAGCCTAGTGACGGAACGATGTTAGCACTAGAAGTTAGCCTAGTTAGCGCACTAAGTGTGCTAAAAATGCAAATCCGAGCCGTAATGTGAGAACTGGTCGTTGGCAATGGCTCGACCCGAAGTAAAAGTATGGTGACCAAAGAGAAGGAAGAAAATGGGGGACTGTCTTGTCCAATCAGCAACTCTTCTCGTCCAATTGGTGGCCTCTCTTCTCGGCTTCCCTCCAATAGTGGTTCACGTGGGGGAGGGCGGAGTCAATGAAATCCTCAAAGTGCAGTGCAGTTGTTCACCTGCCCACTGGGGGTAGTGGGGGTGCCCCCCGCATGGCTGCATCACATGCACAAAAGCATTAGCTGTGTTAGCACACCCTGTCTACATTATTCAGCTGACACGTGAGTCGTTTGTGGTTTGCGTCGTTTGCTTTGAGACCTGAGTAGGCCTTGCTGGGGTAGATCTTGGCAAAGTGTCGATACTCATCCGGAGGAGGGAAATCATCCAGTGGGTGAAACAAATATTTGGACTCAAAGTCATCTGGGTCAACAAAACAAAATGAAAACAACCCAACTTTTACATGTCTGTCAAATAAATGTCCGTCAACAATACAATTTTACTATCAATTTAGTTAGCTAGGCACTAACCAGCTTTTAACGAGCTACCACTAGGTGCTAACTAGCAGTCAACTAGCTGCTAACTGGCCACTAACTGGATGCTAACTAGCTTCTGGCTAGCTCTTAACTCTCCTCTGTCTGCTGACTAGCTGGCTGGACTGTGAAGAGAGACATTTAGAGGAAGTGGACACTTCAAAGGTTCATCCAGGAAGTCAATTGTGAAACTTTTTAGCTGCACAACTGACTGCTCAGCAATGTGGACTTAAAAAAAAACTTTTCAAACAAAAATCTGACTGAAAAAGAAAATGACAGAGACATTACTCAACACAAGCCTTGCTTGTGGAAACAACTCAATTGAAGTGGCTGGAGCATTTACAAAAGTGGTTAAATTTTACCACCACATGTCCAAGTCGTCAAAGCCGACTGGTTTTCGAGCTCCCTGTTGGCAGCCACGTTATGAGTGTAAGCAATGCACATTGGCGAGAACACGCAACTACGGAGGCCATTAAAAAAATAACAAAAACAAATTAAATCTAAACCGGGAGGGGAGGGGGTTCTGTAATAACTCATTAAGCAATGCACATTGGTGAGAACACGCAACTACGGAGGCCATTAAAAAAAAAAGAACAAAAACAAATTAAACCTAAACCGGGAGGGGAGGGGGTTCTGTAATAACTCACCACACAATGACGGAATGATGGAGGAGGCGTGCCCATGACGGAGAGAAGGGGGTGGCGGGGGAGGAGGTTTACCCCTGGCCGGGAGGTCAGATGAGAGAGAAGGGCTACCTGACGTCCTGTACAGAGGAGGGGGCGGAGCCTCTCTGGTGGCTGTAGGGACATGAGAAGGTCACATGAAGGTCGTCATGTTGAACATAAAAGATGTCTGACCTGAAGGGGGCGTCAGCCTGTGGGCAGGTGAGGTGGGAGGAGGGGGTGGGGCTGGACCTCTGTTGTGGGTGTGGCCTCCTGGCAAAGGGGCAGCCCTCTTGTTGCTGAGGGAGGCGTGTTGCTGCAGATGGTCTGCCTCCCGGCTGTAGGTGGGAGGGGCCAGAGAAGTTGGTATGGCTTTGGTGGGAGGAGCCGGTGGAAGAGGCTTATCTCGGTTGTTGGCGGAGGGTGGAGAGGGGGCGTGGCCACGTCGACTCTGATTTGGGGGTGGACGTGGGGTGGTATCCAAGCCTGTAGAAGGGGTCAGGGCGGAGCTTTGACCATCATCATGGCGATGGCCAGGTGGTGTGCGGGGCGACAAGGGACCAGCTGTGCAATCATCTACAAGCAAGACAGCAAGTCATTCAACAAGATGTTGTCAGTAACCAGCCCTTTGGGATTGCGAGCAAGACAGCAAGTCATTCAACAGGCAGGAATTACAAGATGTTGTCAGTAACCAGCCCTTTGGGATTGCGGTTTTGACTTTGGAACTTTCCCTTGCTTTTCGATCTGAGGAAGATGACCCGGACATACTGGGGGGATACGTTGTCGCAACTGTTAAAAAGCTTCGGAGAGGGGACTGAATGCAACCTTTAAGCCACTTTAAGCAAATGTTATGACCTCCGAGCAACCCGCCAAAAGTTCTGAATAACGACAATCCCAGGAGCTACTGTAGCTCGGACACGCCCCTTTTGAGCTGTAAGCCTACGGCGACACTAAGATAGAGGGGCCAAGTCCTCGGTGCGTTCCATGTGCCGCATATGCTCGTGCACAATGTCCTACAAATACGGCAAACCAACTGAAAATAATGTTTCACGGGTAAATATCCTTTCCGTTTTTTACCCCCAACTGTTCTGTATTGACGGCACACATTTTGACAATGACAAAAAAAGTAAACCTAATAAAAATGGGCTGAGAAATGAGCAAGGTTAATTGACAGTACAATGTCTATGCCTTTGATGGGACCTTTGCCCCCCAGTTTGTGGTGCCATCGTAGCCTGTCTCTCTTCATATCTGTGTTTGAAACAGTGCTGTCCTTCCCCGTGTGAAGGAAAGCTCACTAAATTTCAAAAAAGAAGAGGGAAAAGTGGCAGAAAGGTTTGCTCACTGATGAGACAGGAAGTCATTAACTGCACAGGAAGTGTAGACACACATTAAGAAGACACAACAAGACAGGATGCAGCCTACCAATTTGTACACAGCTCTGGTAAAGACAAGAGCAATTTAATCATATGACTTCCTGTTTGTTTTCTTACTTTTGTGTGGCGCCCCCTGGTGGAGGTACTGGTACAGACGGAAGTATGGGTGATCCGTGCCTTGGCTGAGGTCTGACAGGAGGGCGGGGCAACCTTTCACCTCCTCCGGGCTCTGCTGGTGAGGGCCTAGGTCATCACCAGTGACATCTTTACATTTGTGCATTTGCGTGTACCTGAGTGAAGGCAGGGGGCTGCGGTGGCGAGAGGGGCATCCTGCTGCTGTCACTCACCTGAGGAGACACCCACACACGCCGAACATACACACACAGAACACGTGTGCTCAGGAGCAATCTTCATTTACACACACACACACACACACACACACACACACACACACACACACACACACACACACACACACACACACAAATCCAAGCCCTCACACCCCAGGGCTGCCTGCAAATGCTTGGATATGTAATGAATGAAATCTATTTTCTGTGCTCTTCTTTTGCCCATTGAACGCAGTTAGCAAGCTTAATGAAAAACAAAAGTTTTCCAATGAGAATGTGATCGTCAGTGTCGCGACGTGCGTTAGCTCGACTCATTGAAATGTGTTGAAAGTCGTTAGCACACACAGCAAAGCAGTTTTATAAATTAGCTCGCTTCTACACGAGCGTGCGCGCGGTCGCTTTCACACACGCAGGCGTGCTTTGTGCCACCTACCCACCTGGGCACGAGTCCGCGGCTCGTGTGTGCATGTTCACCGCAACGCAGCAGCGACAGCGGCTAGCCTGTGGCCTCCGCAATAGCTTTCGTTCTTGCCTCCCAGCATGCACCGCGCTTTTCTACGTCATCCCGCAGGGCCTCTCTTTTCACTCAACGCGCACGCGCGCGCGGCACAGACAAATGCTGTACGTCCACACATGAGAAAGAATCAGACGCGCACACACACACACACACACACAAAGATACATAGATAAATCAATAAATCACTTCTCATTAAAAAAATATATTATGGAGAGATTTCAAACGACAGCACGTTGTGCAATTTGTTTTTGGTGTGATGTGTTTTGTTGTTGTCGTGACGTCACGCAGGTGGTAGTCAGGTGCGTTTAGATGAGCTCAAAGTTCGCTGAAAATGAAACAGCAAAGAGTCCGAGTCCTCAACGTACGGCCGAGACTCCACAGGTGACTTCACAATTATTATTATTATTTTATTTATTTATTTAGGGAATGAGAGAAACACTTAAATGGTCATGTTCCCACAGAACATGCTAACATTTCTCTCCAGTCAGCTTGCCACATGGCCCACACGATATACAGTACACATTAATACTGTACACATATAGAGATGGATTCACATATATATCTTAATGTATACATACATATACATGTCCTCCTCTACCTCTCCTAAAGCCCATTGATGCATCATTGATGGCATTCGTGTGTTTTACTGACGATTTCTTCAACGAACTATTCCGGCCGCTTCACGACAATGGACCGTTCTCCTTCAGCCTGCCACAGGTTGGTGAGGACGTCAGGCTTTTACTGTGAAAGTTCTTTTATGGCGTTAACTTTTTGTCTGGTTCTTAGTTGAGCTTCCCGAAGTCTGCTGCCCTCAAAGCCTTCGGTCTCTCCTCGGTAAGACAGCCACAATGCCCCTTCCAAATCCTTCCCTTGTAGCCATGAGATAGTGAGCCCATCACACAGCAATAGAAGTTTCACTCCACTATTCAATGATGAATGATCACTACCACTGGATTGTCGTCTTAGGAACTATCTAGTTCCACGATCAACAAGTTCTTCTCCAGTGCTATAGTTTTAGGGAATGAATGTAGGATCCCCATTTCGCCTCCTTAACCACGAGGTCACATGATGAGCGGTGTGCATTGCGATTGTCCGCAGAGCACGCTGGAGGTGGAGCTAAGGAAACCCATCGCGGTTAGCATTCACGAGACTGGACTACAAATTCTAATCGACGCCAGAACCAGACCGCCCGGAAAACAACGTGGACTCATTGCGGTAAGCACCCAAACACCAGATACTTCTTATGATTCTACTTCAGGTTCTTTTTAAGGTTCGGCTTACTCTCATTGAAATTCTACTTCTGTTTCTTATTGAGGTTCTTCTTCTGGTTTTCTTTAGGTGTTTGGCTCCTGATGGGGTTCTTAAAGTTGCAATTGAGCTTTTTCTTGAAGTTGCTCTTCTAGCTCTTCTTGAGATTTTTCTTCTATTTGTAATTCTGGTTCTCATTGAAGATCTGATGGTTCTTCTGGTACTTGTGTTTTTCTTGAGGTTCTTCCTCTGGCTCTTATTAAAGCTCTTTCTTGTGGTTTTCCTGCAGATGTGTGAGATGTCTATGAAGGTGGATATCAAAGAAAACCATCTGGTTCTTCTTCATGGGAATGCCAAGTGAGAACACACACACACACACACATACATGTGTGTAATATCTTCTAAGGAGTTGATCTTTCTTGCTTAGATGTAAAATTCGAGTTTCCAAGTTCTGGGGAAAACTTATTGTAAGTTGAAGTCACCGTTAATATCACACAATGCGTATTACTCGACAACACCCCTCACTGCGTTTGTGTGTATTTGTTTGCAGAGGGGCTATGCCAGAAAGAAGATGGAAGAACTCATTGAATCCAAACTGAAAGGTCAGAAACATTCATTCCTTCATCACATTTACATTGAAACACATCATTGAAATTGTGTGTGTGTGTGTGTGTGTGTGTGTAGAATTAGTCAACAAAATGGTGATTCCTAGAGAAGCTACCGTTGTAGTCGATGTTGAAACCACCATTGTCTATTATGAGGTGAGTTAAACACCCACATACAAAAGTCAGGACTAGTGAGGTGTGTGTGCGCGTGCGTGTGTGTGTGTGCAGGGCAGCCTAGTGGTCAGGGGAAAGCTGAGCCTGGTTCCTGAGGTGATCCAGCAGACTCTGAGGCGCGCTACCAGACGAAAGTACTAATAAATTTGTCTTTCTTCTTTGTGTTGTTGTTGACTTTGTTGTGCAATAAAAGTGTTGAGATGCATTGCCATGTTAAAGAAGATGATGTCAACATACTCGTTCCTCAACATCATTGACTTGTCACGGTAATGACCGAATGAGAAACTCACATCGCTTTCTACCTAGCTTCAACGGCACAAACAGTCTCATTATTTGAATCAACTTTATTTGCTTGAGCTGAAAGAATAAAAGAAGGTGTGAGCTGAAATCCTGTTGGGATTTTTCGAAGCATCACAATGTCCTGTCCCAGTTGCCGTGGTGACTGCTTCCACGTTGCCGTTTGAAGTCTATAAACTCCATCCGTCATGGCATACAAACACACCCAATGTCAGCTCTAAGCTCGCGCTATTAGCGTAATTCGCTGGTTTAGCATCAGAAGTGCAACTAGCCTCGTGAGTGTGCTTAGCTAGCTCAACAATTGTGAACAGCTGCCAGCGCTCATGGAAGAAGCAGTGATGTTTATCGTCACGTTTCTTCTTCAACACTCAGGTTGGTGTCAGGCTGCAAGGTCAAAAGGTCACATCAACAAATCAAAGCTCAGAAAAAAAAGAAAAATGTCATTGGTAACTTACCACATACGTGTGTCCTGGCACAAATGACACTCTGCTTGGCCTCTCCAGAGAGCGCCTTCTTATGATACCTGCCACACAAACACACACGTCACGTGACCATTTGACATAAAAGAAATAGATGAAGCATTTTTGACTTTATTGCGAGACAGTGAATATTTAATGTCCTTTTGACCTCTAGACAGGTTACATCCCCTGCCCTCGCTGACCTGTCAATGATTTCTCTGAATGTTTGTTTAATTGTAGTTAAAAACGGAACAATTTGTCATGACCTGCCATGTGGTCATGTGCCTTTCAATGCAGCATGCATTCTGACCTGTGGGGGGCAATACATCAGGCCTATGTAGGCGGCGTTGATTCAACATGGCGGCGGGGGCCACAGCGCCGGGAGGCGGGGCTAATCCAATCCTCTGGCATAGTTCATCCATCTCTCGCCTCTGACTGGCCTGCAGGCGACGCACCTCTAACAGGTGCCTGGGAAGGAATGGGGTCAGGGGTCAAAAGGGCTGTGTTTCCACAGTGGCCGTCCATCAGGGTCACCTTTCCCGAATCTCCTTTAGCTCCTCCCACGTCTCATCCTCATTGTCAGATTCGTCGGACGTGACGTAAGAGCGGCTCCGCGATTGGCTGCCAGACGGTCCCTCGCCACTGGTTGTCTTGCGCCCGCCCCTCCACTTCCCCTCCGGCCCGTCTCCTGTGTCGCTATAGCAACTGCTTTCTGATTGGCTGTCTTCCTCAGAGATGCTGTCAGAGCTCTCGGATTGGCTCATCTGAGACGGGGGTGGTGAATGTGCCATGACCATCTGGGGTTCCGAGTTCGTCACTTGGAAACGACCCACGCTTCGAGTGGGAGGAGTCACTGGTGAAACATAATATATCACTAACCAATACACTCGTGAACTCATGAGCATAAACAAATGAGTTGCAAAGTGTTAAAAGTGTGTGTGTGTTTATTTGTGTGCGTGCATGTGGTTACCGTCACGTGTGGCTGGTGGTCCGGCTGACGGCATGACGGTGGGATGTGCCTGTGTCAGAATAAGGTCGCCCCGAGTCACAAATATTATCATTAATGTTATCATCAGTGGGAGAATCTTACTTGCGTGTGGTGAGGAGGCGGGGCCTGCATGGAGGAGGGCGGGTCCAGGGCTGAACCTGTGCAAGTGATAATCAAACTTTTTGATCAGGATGTGATGTCACAGGATGTGACGTTACAGGACACGATGTCACACTCACCTTGAGGGGGCAGGGTTGAGGGATACCTGGGCTGAGAAAGAGAAACAGGTGAGGATGAAGGTGAATGACATCAGAATTACCAGTCGATCAATCAAAAGAGACATCCATGACTCACCTCCGTGGGGCTCCAGCTGAGCGATGTCCCCTGGAGCCCTGGATGAGCGGTGCCCATCCCGGCAGGCGTAGATGCCCGGAAGGAGGAATGGCCCAGAGGGGCCAACACGGGAGGCGAAAAGGGGTTAAGGGTGGGTGTGAAGGGGGCTGATGGGTGGAAGCTCTGGGTTGGGGGCAGGAAGGAGCGAGCCATGCTCACGGCTAATGACATCATGTTAGCCAGAGAGAAGAGTGGCTGGTCGGGGGGCGGCCACTGAGGGGTGGCGCCAGTGGGGGTGCTGAAGGTAGGGTATGCCAGAGGCGGGGGGGGGAACTTTGGAGGAGATGAAGGGGCATCCGTTCGGGGCTCCGTGGGGGCTGAGGAACGACAGATAGACATGCAGGCAGATGCATCTTGAGCAGTTGTGTACCAAATCCCAAAGTCATTTGGAGAAGGAATTACCTGAAGAATTGTAGGACGGCTGCGACCGCGTCCCTGCGGCGAGGGGAGCAGCTTCGGACTTCACCTCCTCGGAAGGGGACGGCTCAGCCTCTGCCGAGTCTGCTAGGAAGACTCGTCAATCAATGTCTGACATGGCAATCAAGCGCAAGCCATTAATCAAAATCTTACCATTGAGGGAGGAGCCATACGATGTCCTGGCTGAGCGCTCGGACACCATCTTTGTCTATTGGGTGACAAAGTAATCAAAGCAATAGTCATCAAGTGTGGCTTCCTCGTCTGTGTGTGTGTGTGTGTGTGTGTGTGTGTGTGTGTGTGTGTGTGTGTGTGTGTGTGTGTGTGTGTGTGGGGTTGAAATACACCTGCTTCTGTTGCATCATCATCGACTCGGCCCTGCTGATGATGTCATACATGCGCAGGATGAATCCTGTTCGCTCATTCGCCAAGATGAAATCTCTGTGCATCTGTTACACACACACACACACACACACACACACACACACACACACACACACACACACACACACACACGCACACGCACACGCACACGTAGTGTTGTGTTTGCGATAACTTTTTTTGGGCCTCATCTCAGAATTCCTGACAGTAATTTACCTTTTTGTTTCTTTTCACTTATTGTTGTTTTTGCGATAACTTTTTTTGGGCCTCGTCTCAGAATTTGACAGTAATTTACCTTTTTGTTTCTTTTCACTTATACTTAAGTAAAGGAGTTGGAGTAGTGCATGATTATTTTTGCCATGTGCATTGTGATTGGCCGCTGACGCTCACCATAACGGAAGCGATGTCTTCTGGGTTGTCGCCATCAAGGTCAAATTTGAAGGTCACCATCTTGCTGTCGTGAGTACTCAACTGACACTCCACCACACGGTCGGCCATGTTGGACACCTGTACGCACATGCACGTCAACGCAAACACATCAATGCAAATGCATCGGTGGAAACTGGCCAAAGCATCAACACAAACACGCAATGGTATGCGGCTCACACGCTCACCCCCGTGAGCCTGAGGTGAGCCCTCATCTTCCTCCTCAGCTTTCGGTCAGGATGCCGCTCAGTCACTTCCTGGTAGCTCTTGTCTGTTTGGCCGTCGTTGCCGTCACTCAAACCCGACGTTACGTCAGAGGCGCAGCTACAAGACAATCATTCGTCAACCCTTTGTGTGTGTGTGTGTGTGTGTGTGTGTGTGTGTGTGTGTGTGTGTGTGTGTGTGTGTGTTACCTGTCAGCAGGTGAAGAGACCCCGTGTTCATGTTGTGATACTGCGAGGCTCTGAATGTGTGGAGAGCAAAAAGATTTGACTGATGATTGCCCCCCAGTCTGTAGTCCCGCTCTCTACTCACCCTGGGGTAGCGCAGAACAGGAAAGGGCGGAGCCTTTGAAATCCGGGCCCTGGGAGGTGGCGCATAGACACTTTGCTGAGAGTGAGAAGCGACAGGAGTTGGCGGGGCTTGCGGAGCACTGTCTGTCACGCGATTCACTGCCATGACAACCACAAGATCAATTCAAAATCCAACGAAAGTTAGTCGTTGTCCAACCATGAAGTCAAATCTGACCCGCAGCAGCCATCTTGTCACTCGCGTAATGCACCTGGCCACCGCCAGTTGATGTCACGGCGGCGGGTGGGGCTTGGAGCCAGGATGCAGCAGGAACTTCAGAGTTCTGATGGAGGGTTACCATTAACATACATCATTATTAATACTCAGACACACACACACACACACACACACACACACACACACACACACAAATTCACACAGGCCAGCACTCACATACAGATAAATTTAAAGAGCCTGCCGTTGATATGTATACTAATGGAGCGTGAACCACCTCTCCTTGATGATTGGCCATCTGGGGTGTTGGTGGCGAGGGCCGTTCTCTCTCTTGGGCGACATCTTCCTGTCTCCGGGTGGCGTCTCCGGCCAATCGGCGCCGTTTTTCGCGTTGCCGCTTGATGGCGGTCACGCCGTCTCGGATGGCCATTGCCACCAGTTTGTAGTCGCCCTCCGACACGAACCCCAGCACCACCTGCGAGTAGGTAGGGGGAGTGAGTAAGTGACTGTAGCGTATGTGCGTGAGTGAGTGTTGGTGTGTCAGTGAGAGATTATGTGACTATGTGTTGCCTGAGTCAATGTCAGTGTATTATGGGGATGTGAGTGTGTATGTGTGTGAATGTGTGAGAGACTGTGTGAGTGACTATTTTAGAGAGAGAGAGAGCGAGAGAGAGAGAGAGAGAGAGAGAGAGAGAGAGAGAGAGAGAGAGAGAGAGAGAAGTCCCATGGCCTACCATCTCCTGGGCCACCTCCTCGGGGACGTCGTTGTGGAGCTCGAAGAGGAACTCAATGGCGTTGTTGTCTTTATACTTTCCGTGAAGCCTCTTGGTTCCATCCATCCTCAGCCACAACATGAGCGCCGACTTTGTGCCATCATCATCCTCGGCCGGCTCCACGTATACCCCAAGCTCGCCCTGGAAAAAACGCTGGTCTAGAAGGTCCTGAACCGTGAACCTGCAGGAAGGGACTCGGGGGTTTAGGGTGCGTGGCTAGGACACCAACACTGCTGGTACTATTCTGGTCTTAAGCGGGTCCTAAGTGAGTTGTACCTCTCACTGCTGTTGGTGTGAATGCATCCCTCGATGATGTTCCTCAGCTCAGGAATTGTGACCTTGGAGAA